ATTTATTTTATCTTTGCCATGATGACAGTAAATAATATTTTACTAGATATTTTTCAAGACACTTCTAAAAAAATATAGCTTAAAGAGGCTAATAATTTTAATCTTAAAATGTTTATAAAAAAATTAAAAACTGGTTTCATTCTAGCCGAAATAAAACAAATAAGACTTTCTCTAGAAGAAAAAATATTATCAGACATACTGTGGAAATTTCCCTGCTCTGTTAAACATCATTTGGAAGATATTTAAAAAAGGAAAAAAAAAATCAAAGAGGGGCTAATAATTCTGATTGCAACCGGATATATTGTAATATGAAAATAGAATTTAATGACTTCGAATTTTACAAATTGATTGGAAAGATTTTTTTTAGGCAAATGCATCTGCATAAAATGTTCACAATTATAAATATTTATACATAAAATAAAGCACAGATCAAAACAATTGAACAAAGTCAGAAACTCAATATTCAAATGTAAAATAGCACTATAATCTTTATCGTAGAAGATAAAACCCAATTATTAAAGTGGCAAACTTTATCATTTCTTGTTTCACATTTCATATTCTGCATTGTGATTATTGCAGATTCACAAGTTGCGATATCGATGCTGAAACTATATATTGTGGACCCTGGTAGAAATGCCAGTTTGGATGATGACTGTTTATAACAACTTTGTTTTAAGACAAAAACACATTATTGTAAACATCACTCAGCGGTGCCTGTATGTATGTGTGTGTGTGTGTGTAAACAGGTTGGAAGCAACACCATGGACAATCCCCTTCTGAAATACAGCGCCAAAGAGTATTTCTTCAAAGCTTCCTTGTGTCACTTCATTGTAGACGAGTTGAACGCTAAGGTCAGTTCTCAATCTGCACTTCAGGATGCAGAGATTAATATGGAGAACAAACATAGATCATTCATGGCATTTCTTTGTTGCAGCTCGCCATTGGAAAGTACGAGGAGATGTTTCCAGCCTTCTCAGACTCAAGAGAATGCAAACTGCTGAAGGTTTGTGATAGTCGAGTTTGTTCAACCAAACATAGGACACTTTTGATGCATTTTGGCCATTTATGTGTATGACAACTGTATTTAATGGCAATGAAAATTAATTTTTGAAATGGATTTTAAGTTTTTTGAACAGAACATGAACCTAAATATTTAAAAATTCCAAAATCAAGAAGCATTTTCTAGACTAGTAAAGTATTGTTTTGTTTTCAGAAATTAAAATTAAGTGAG